AAAAAATTTAAAAATTTAAAAAAAAATTAAAATCAAATTACGTAACTAGTTAATAATAATTTAACTAATTATAAAATAAAATAAAATTAAAAATAAACAAAATAGGTAATGTCCGGTTGATCCGCCTAATTACAGCACCAGCTGTCGCACAACAGTTGTTGCATAATGACCTACGTACTTCACGGAGAGGCACTTAATGTACGTCGTAAATTACCATAACCTGTCAACCGCTCGGGGGAAACTCGGTGAAGCCTAACAAAAATTTAATTAGGTGTGATGGGCCAGCGGCTGCGATCAATACATTCCCATTAAAACGGGCAGCGGTGAGGAAACTTCGCGGGCGGGTCGATACGTAACAGCTGTGGCTGATCGTTATCTTTAATGGATGTTATTCACAAAGTACACGGCTAGTGTTAGTCTTTTATTTAAAACATACATACATTCAAACAAACCAACAAATTAAACAACAAAGAAAAGAAATATATCAAAGTAATTAAATTAAACAAAGTAATTAAAATCAAATTACGTAACTAGTTAATAATAATTTAACTAATTATAAAATAAAATAAAATTAAAAATAAACAAAATAAAAATAATTAAAAAGTAAACAAATAATCAAATTACGTAAATTACAGCACCAGCTGTCGCACAAAAGCTGTTGCATAATGACCTAAGTGCTTCGCGGAAAGCTACTTAATGTATGTCGTTAATTACCATAACCCGTCAACCGAGCGGGGGTAACTCGGTGAAGCATAACAAAAATTTAATTAGGTGTGATGGGCCAGCGGCTGCGATCAATACATTCCCATTAAAACGGGCAGCGGTGAGAAAACTTCGCGGGCGGGTCGATACGTAACAGCTGTGGCTGATCGTTATCTTTAATGGATGTTCTATTTTTGTAACGTTCGTTGTGTTGGAAAATGGTCCCTATACAAAGACTGTTCTAGTACATGCTAGTGTTAGTCTTTTATTTAAAACATACATACATTCAAATAAATAAACAACATTAAACAACAAAGAAAAGAAATATATCAAATAAATAAATAAACAAAAGTAATTAAAATCAAATTACGTAACTAGTTAATAATAATTTAACTAATTATAAAATAAAATAAAATTAAAAATAAACAAAATAAAAATAATTAAAAAGTAAACAAATAATCAAATTACGTAACTCGTTAATAAAAATTACACAATATAAACAAAGTAATTAAATTAAACAACAAGTAAACAAACAAATTAAACAAAATAAAAATACAATCAAAGTAATTAAATTACGTAACTCGATAATAAAAATTAATTAAAAATTTAAAAACTCATTAAAAACGCATTAAAATTACGTAACTATAAAATTTAAAAATTAAATTCAAACTCATTAAAAAACGCATTAAATTACGTAACTAGGTCAAAAATTAATTAAAATTTTAAAAACTCATTAAAACTCATTAAAAAAACGCATTAAAATTACGTAACTAGGTCAATGATGACGTCACAAGGTCACTAATTACGTCACAAGGTCAATGATTACGTCACAAGGTCACCAAAAGGTGACCTACTTCCCCACCACCTCCGCCAACCCCAGTTGGCGTAGTATTTTACTATATCTCGTTGTCCCGCCTGCGCATCCTGCTCACCCACCCTCCCCATCCCGATGCGCCAGGCTGGGAGTATTTTACTATATGTCATTGTCCCGCCTGCGCATCCTGCTCCCGAGTATTTTCCTATATGTCATTGTTCCTCCCCATCCCCACCTCCGCCAAAAATAATACCCAAAAGGGACCTAATATACTACTTTGGTTGTTTGTTTTTAAATTTAAATTAATAAAATATTGACTGGTTTTTGAAAGCAAAAAAAAAATAATAATAAAATTCCCCATTAATTTATCAAGTAAGTATTTATATATTACAGAAAATAACTTTTTTTTAAAAAAATATAAGCTACAGATGCAGTAAGTCTACCCCAATCAGTATAGAAACACTCATGTCATGTTTTGAAAGTAACTCCAATATTAAACACGGTTATCCTCAACTTGAACACGTTTATCCAATGAATAAGACAGTTATGCTGAAACAGAAATTACAAGTTGTATCCAGTATAATGTAGATATTGTATTTATAGACACATGATGTGTCCACTATAATGTAGACGTATTGGATATATAGAGACATGATGTATCCACTATAATGTAGACGTATTGGATATATAGAGACACATGATGTTTCCACTATAATGTAGACGTATTGAATATGATGTACATGATGTAGCCACTATAATGTAGACAGATTTGTTATACTCTATATTGTAGACACAGCTGATTTAGTCAACATAACTTAAAGACATGTAGCCACTGTAACATAAAGACACATGATGTAGCACGACTGAACCCAGACACATATGATTGCATGTTGTAGTCACTGTAACATGGAGACACGTGACGTAGCACGACTAAACCCAGACACACATTATTGGATGTAGCAGGCACGATGTATGCCGGACATGGGGCTGATTGTCTGAGGACCGAGCCACCGACAAAAGGAACAGCCAATCTGTCTTCATCAGCTGACGGTGGCTCCTCAATATAAGACAGACGTGGGCTGGTTTCCTTGTGTGTTGCATCTATACAGACATTGCACATCAAAGCTACCCCCCCCCCCCACACCAGTGTTTCTTTCAGACTTTTTTCTCCGGGGGGCACTTGAAATTTTCAGGGGGGGGGGGGGGGCGGTAGACTTTCTTCGGGGGGGGGGGGGGGGGGCGGACACTGTTAAAAGTATATATTTTCTATATAAATTATATAAATTTCATTTCGTTCGGGTGGGGGGGGGAGGGGGCGGTAGAATTTTTTCGGGGGGGGGGGACTCGAAGAGATGCCTGGAAGAAACTCTAACCCCCACTTTTTCTGATCTTACTTTATCCTCTGAGAAACCAAAATAAATATCGCAATAATGTTTTAGTTATGTTTTATAAATAAACCGTTTTTTAATCTGTGCGATGTTAATGTTGATTTAAAAAAAAAAAAAAGGTTAACAAAATTATGTGAACGCTTGTGTAACCCAGTTTTAAAAATAAATTAAGCTACAAGCTGTCTGTAATGCTATAATTAAAAAATCAGTTTAACGTAACGGCCTTTCACGTAGACGTTTTTAAACGTGGAGTTAAAGTAATTTTCAAATAAACAGCGTGTACTTTTTTTTACATGTGAATAGTTCTATTTTAGGCAGCACAAAGCGCAAGTTTTTGAATACGAAACTAACCGCCCTTTATAGAAGTCAAGTGTACCACGCCAAGCTGTCTATAAACTTGATTGTCTGTCGTCAGAGTATGACGTTAAAGATTTCTAATAGAAGGTATTTACAACAATACAAACAGTAAGAAAATATATCGTAGCCTGCGCTGTTTGTTGCTATGTGTGAATCGGCTAAAGTTAATTAGTTTTTTTTTTAAATTAATACGGTGGACGGAATTTTAAAAGCGAATAAATTATTGAATTTTTCAAGCAGGGTAATAGCAGGATATTAAAACAGCAAAACACTCATGTAAAAATTGCATAAAACAATCGTCAGCTATTTAGCAAGGAAAGAATAGGGAAATCATTCAAATCACGGAGTGCCAAATTGTTTACCAATGACATATGTAGTTTAATTAGAGCAGGGGGCAATGTGGATTTAGCGCCCATGCAGTTGTCTACGTACCCTATAAGGACCAGGGGAGACTATCCATCAGATCAGTGACCGTCACATTCGTCGAGGGGAGAGGACAAATAACAATCGATACTTATTCAATCCATTCTTGTCTCATTAATTATACATACATTATATATATATATATATATATATATATATATATATATATATATATATATATATATATAGATAGATATATATATATATATATATATCGAAATAAAAAGCACATTTTTGACTCTTTAATACCTAGCAGCTGGTAAATGAAGCAGTGTGCATTAGTAAGGCGAGGGTTGGGTTTGTATAATAATGTAACTAAAGCATACATTAATGAACTACTTTTCGTTTAACAGTGTGGTAAGTAACGTTCTCATTAAATAATTAAAACAGCTTTTTTAAAGGCTTTATCTAAAATTTACTTTAAAATCTTAAAGTGCAAGAAATTAAAAAAAAAATATTTAAAATGCGAACCATAAAATGAATCATATGACTGGTTTAGCCAATCAGAGACGACGGTACAAAAACCCTGGCATGTAATTTAGCTGTTAACTGATACGTGTGTGAGATACGAGGATGCTTGTGATTGTGGGGTAGCATTACAATCAATCAAGGCAGGTGGACATTATATCATACAAGGCATCAGTGGCAGATTTGCAACTCGGTGAAGGTGCGCATAGAGAACACACCTACAGCACGGGGAAAGGAGCGCAACACACCTACAGCACGGGGAAAGGTGCGCAACACACCTACAGCACGGGGAAAGGTGCGCAACACACCTACAGTACGGGGAAAGGTGCGCATCTCGAACACACGTAGCCTACGTGTTTATCATGTATAAATTAAGGCATACTGAATAGAAAGCTGGAAACTAAAAGCTGTGTAAGGAGGTCAGTGGTTGAGAGTGGGAGGGGGGGGGAGGAGTGAACCTATTATGATACAGAGGAAAACAAATCAATTAAATTGGCATTAGGCTTGTATAACGACCTAAATAACAATAGCGTTGAAGTTAGGACATTTAATCAAGTCGTTATATTTACAAACACATACGTTTAACTTTTTAGTTACGCCCCCTTTTCTTTAACTAATAAGTATTTGTTTCTTTCAATGTAACAGTCCTATCAAGTCATCGCTTTACACTTCAATACACAACTCACATCTTATTCGTTTTAACGTACCGGCATGAATACAAAAATAAAATAGTGAGACAAATAGTGAATTTCGGAGAATTTTTGGTTGACACAAGAAATTGAAATTTGCATTTGGATGAGATATGTCGTGGACTGGGTGGAACAAAGGTTAGACAACTTAGTACTCACCAACACAAGAACCGAGTTGTTCCCCATTGTCATAATGGAGGGTAAGACCTGATTTATTTAAAACTTAAGAAAACATCAATGCATTAAAAAAATTGATTTCTATGGGAATAGTTTTTTTTTTTAATTTGTAAACTAGCGTCTAATGACTTATTATGCATTATATATATATATATATATATATATATATATATATATATATATATATATACAACACTTACGACATGTTTATGCTTCCATTAGTTTAATATATATTTTATTGCACGATTTTATAAATTATGTCACTTAACTATGGGGGTAGTTTGTATTTACAGGTATTTAGCTTAAGTGTGTGATGGGAGGGTTATTTAAATGTGCCACACAATCCAGTTTGATTTACAATATTTTAAATGATATACAATATATATTTTTTTATTCGAATTTAATAATGGGTGGTAGCAACTATGTGAGGGGCTTTTTTGTGTGAGGTTGTTTGGCCCTCTGGAAAGGGGATGAGTAGTTAGCTGAAATTGTTTAGTATCATTTAAGAAAGACATTTAAGCAAAACTTTGTTTACGCGTGTGTAGACTTTTGAACTTGCAAATAAAGAAGAAAAATAAAGTAGATTTTTTTTTTGTGTAGACACCATAAAAATAGATCGATGGATGATCCGGCAGCTGAGTCTATCAGGCACCAGGCCAAACTCTAAAAGCATTAAGGATAAGCTACTGTTTTCTTTTTTAACTGGATAGATACTCATTTTTTTCTGCTTACATAATCAGATAACGTTATAATCACGCACAGGATTAATACATTGTATTAATATGGGGGCTAATGCATTGGGTAGCTATAGTTCATACAGGGTAGTTATGATTACGTTTACAATAGCAATACTTTACCTCACACTGTTATTAATGTACAGTAGTGTTATCGACAGCATGCTTAGTATATACAGAGCATTCATTGAATTAATGACACGTTGTTACACATCGAGTTATGACACCGATAAATCGTATACCACCACTGACATTCCGTAGCCCTAATACACAGGTAGTTGAGTATATGAGAGAGTACGTCAGGGGCCGCTACTTACCCGCTTCCTTCCTCTTCCACCGGAAGCGACTCCAGGGCCAGCGCTTCCTGGAGCTGCTACTGCTGGACGACTTCTCCAAGGGCGACTCGGACAGCTCGTCACCGGAAGACAGGTCCCCAGAGGCGCTGAGCTGCCCACCCCTGAGGGTGTGGGCTTTCCCGTTGGTCTCTATGGCGTCGTCGTGGGGGTGTCTGTGACGGTGAAACCGTTTAGGCCTAGCTCCACGTTATTCTTACACCACCCCTTACCTGCTCTATACTCCCCCCCCCCCCCTCTATACAACTACGTACATTCCTATCTTTCGTCCCCCTCGCAGGCCCCTCTCTAGTTGGCTAGTTTGTCCACGTGACACACCGCCAATGTAAAGGCATATAAGGGGATGCAACAAAGGGATTCTCGCACTCTCCCAGCACTGAGCTCAGCTGGTGGTGTCGCACGCGGCGTTGGGGCCGTCGGCCCGACCTCCACGTGTTTTTCTGGGTTTGGTTTTACTTAGTTATTTCTTACTTTTACTTAACTTTACTTTTTATATGCATAATTGATTAACAGTGTATCAAGGAGTTTTAATAAATACCATATATAGATATTATCTTGCTGTCATGTATTTTTTTCATAAACACTATACATTGTTACTTTACATTGTGCTAGTCGATGACTTACCTGAATTACTTAACTTTACACTGCCCGTGCCTTAGCCCACAGGGCATTTAAATACTTATCTGACCTAAACTATTCCTGCCTGTGATGTAATTCCACGTGGCAGTTGAGTAGATATTTGTTACCTGCTGTACTACTTTTATCCTGCACGTGTATCAGCCACGGAGCAGTAGATATATATCATACACAGCCTCATTCTATTTTACTACAGGCCGTAAACTGCGGGCATTGAGTTGACCCGTAGTCATCGGACCTACAATTACTTCCCCTGCCCCGACTGAATCATCAATAAACACAGCACCGGATGCTTCAGTCGACCTTAATTATGCAAACAACCCAACCACTGAGATTGTCAGCCTTATCGGCCCCATTGTTATACCTACCACACATACCAAACCTTACCAGCCCCTGCCCAGAGGGAAAAAATTCGCCGACGAGAGGAGGATCGCTCTCGGTCCTGAATTACCTGTCGCAGCTATACAAGGGGCAGATAATCAACAAAGCAAGTTACAATTATCACCCTTAGCAACAAAATCTGGTTCTCGCCCCTTGCGGACCGAATCAGACTTATCGTCCCCAACTAACAGCACAGTCAATTACTGCGTACCTGGCCAAAACAAGAACTCTAACGCTCAAATTGGCCAACGCAGACAACCTCGTTGGAAGCCCCGCCCTCCTACATACAACTTGATGAAACAACGGTCCAAGGACACCAGCCTAAGTTATCGGGAGACGTGCCGTTTGCTCTATAGCTGTTGTGTCCATGTCTACCCATCTCTAATTACTGGCGCTTCACGTTTTGCCACCCACCCCATTCTGAGTTTTGACAAGTCACTAAGCATAACTTAGCTAGTTAGACTTAGGGTGGAATTTCTTAGTAAGTCATGGTCGATTGCCTGAACTTAGCTCAAATCCAGCCTTGCACTTAATTGATGCAAGCTGCACAGTTAAAAAATAATGAAGCTATTTTATGACTTACTTTGATATATGTTGTATACACAAGCATTGCTTTTTAAAAAAAATTCTATGGGCATTTATCATTGTCATATCTTATGTAATCATAACTTCATATCTATGCATAAATTTGTTGGTTTCCCTTGTTCTTGCAGTATTTTTCACAGGTTTCCACTGACTTCTTAGACCTGGTTGTCATACTTCTAAAACAGAACTTGGCGTTAGTTAATTTCCTGAATACAATGTAAACTTATACTGAACAAAAAAATGTCATTATTCACCGTTGTCTTATTACAATTTACATAAAAACAATTTTTGTTTTCTATAGCCTCTAATGGCATATCACAATGTTGTAATTGATGTTGGACTAATGTATACTCATTTTGCCTGTCAATGGCCTATGTTTCAATGTTATTAATTTTCGTCTAAAGACATTGTTATTTACATTTTTTGCTTAACTATACTTTGAAAGACACATGAAAAGATATTGTTTTATTTCTGGTCCGCTGAAAATTGCGTTACCACGAAATTTTAGCGAGGAAAGGGGGTGTGACGGTGAAACCGTTTAGGCCTAGCTCCACGTTATTCTTACACCACCCCTTACCTGCTCTATACTCCCCCCCCCCCCCTCTATACAACTACGTACATTCCTATCTTTCGTCCCCCTCGCAGGCCCCTCTCTAGTTGGCTAGTTTGTCCACGTGACACACCGCCAATGTAAAGGCATATAAGGGGATGCAACAAAGGGATTCTCGCACTCTCCCAGCACTGAGCTCAGCTGGTGGTGTCGCACGCGGCGTTGGGGCCGTCGGCCCGACCTCCACGTGTTTTTCTGGGTTTGGTTTTACTTAGTTATTTCTTACTTTTACTTAACTTTACTTTTTATATGCATAATTGATTAACAGTGTATCAAGGAGTTTTAATAAATACCATATATAGATATTATCTTGCTGTCATGTATTTTTTTCATAAACACTATACATTGTTACTTTACATTGTGCTAGTCGATGACTTACCTGAATTACTTAACTTTACACTGCCCGTGCCTTAGCCCACAGGGCATTTAAATACTTATCTGACCTAAACTATTCCTGCCTGTGATGTAATTCCACGTGGCAGTTGAGTAGATATTTGTTACCTGCTGTACTACTTTTATCCTGCACGTGTATCAGCCACGGAGCAGTAGATATATATCATACACAGCCTCATTCTATTTTACTACAGGCCGTAAACTGCGGGCATTGAGTTGACCCGTAGTCATCGGACCTGCTATTTTATTTTATTAACCGGCCGTAAACCCTTGCCAGAGACAAGAGGTCATCGGACCTGGTAAGAACCAATTATCATTTTAATAAGGCTGTGAACTCTGGGCATTGAATTGACCCTTAGTCATCAGACCTTAATAATATTACCTCTAGTTATACAATACTAGAATCTATATTCCCGGTAAAGAAGCGGCACAGACCCTCTTACCGGTTGAATACCAGCATTTCACTGATTTTACTATTATATCTATTATACGGTACCAAATATTTATCTTTTACCGTTAACAGTGTCTCTCGGGGACCCGAACCTCGGCCGACATAGTGCAGGGCTCTTTAGAAAGGTAGAGTCCAGATAGAGGCAAAAATTCTAGCCACAATATTAGTATCCAGAGAATGGGTTAACTTATCCACAGCTGTACGGGTGTAATGTTATCCATAATTCATAAGGCACGGGTATGATCCTATGCGGGAGAAGTGTTACTTAGAAACGCACATGTGTTTAAACACATTTGAATGTTTCATTGTCACATGCTGTTTTTGTTATCAAGTAATTAAAAAAAAAAGTATTAAAACACTATATTACAGAATTTAGCCACCACAGTTAAATAGTATCCCTCACACCTGATTTTAAAAAAAATATATAATAGTAAATAAACCATAGCAAAAAAAAATCACAAACGGTTATCTCATTAAAACGGCAGATAATCCGGAGAATTGATTAATCCCGTATCCAAAAGCCCTTAATTTCCTGTAATTAATTAACCGAAGAGAATCGTAAACACAAAACAGAAGCTAAGGCAACATAAAAAAAATAAAATAAAATCACATTCTAGAGTCTAAGTGCTAAAAGAGACGTGTCGTGCTACTGGCTCAGATATCACAATCATAGCCTGCCCATGTTAAAAGACAACAAACACATCTAGAGCAGAGTTGTCGCCCTCGTTAAGAGTGGCATCCCCTTGTAGGCCTACACGGCAGAGAGTAACATGGCCCATTTCATGTCGGCTATTTGTTTTTGTTTGCAAACCAACACAAGAATACACAGGCAATCGGCTCGCCGCAGGAAAATACCAACACAGCACACAACCTCCTTTAAGATGGAGATGAGACGCGGATAATTATTCAAACTTTTTTTTAAATTTTCTTCATATTTGTAGAATGGTTGGAGGAATTAATAAAGGTAGATGTTTGCAGCAATATGCTGTCCTAAGTTTACCCGTATCGGGGGCCTAGGCTTGTCTCTGTCGTGTGAAGGCGACATAGCAAGGCCGTCTTAAATATTAGAACAGTAGGGGGGGGGGGAGAGCCGGCGCTAGTGGTACGCGACTCGGGGAGATTTCGCACTCAGTCCGATTGTTAGCCAACATGACCATTGACAGGAGTCAAACACCTCCAGCTAGACAACCTGCACGCAGGTGCACTTTACACGAGCACGCGGCACACCTGACTCGAGAGGTGCACCCAAAGCACCTGACGGTACAGAGGTGAACCGAAGTCCTGTCAAACGCCACATGAGAAATGAACCAACACACATTTACGCTTACCAACACTTGTAGAACACTGCACTATAACTAAGACGCACACCTTCACACATGCACTACAACTCAACAACACCCAATCGTATGTAGATCTACATCAGGAAAATAATACATCACGCGTATCCACACATTTTAAAAAAATAATTAATTAAAAATGAATTCTCCAATGATTTTGAAACACGAACTGCTTATCCGTGACATACAGTGTAACACAACCCAGCCAGGGGGGATAAAATGTATATCATTCCTATCCAAGACATCGCTCTAACTAGGCCTCTCTCCACTATAACTTGTCTGGACTACTCCAAAAAACTGAAAGCAACTCCACACAGCATTGAAAAACCTACTCTCACGACAAATAGAAGGTAGGCCGAGCCTACAAAAAAAAGGTCCTATTGTTGCCACCCCACCCTCCCCGCCGCTTACACAACATGACAGGTGGGGGCCGCACAATAACCATGTGCTAATTTCTGTCCCAGCGACCCCACGCTAATTTAGCCGACACGTAGCAGCCAAGGTGGTGTGTGGACACCTGGGAAAGCATCGTTAGTCCCACGTGACGCCCGTCTTAAGTAGCTTCCACGGTCACGTGGTGGAACAATACAAGTCTGATAGATCAACAAATACGTGTCAGGTGATGTAGATTCCAAGTCTACACACTACACGGCTAATTGTCATACAGACACACACACACCGTGGAACACAGCACATATACATTTGGAACATGTGTGACCTGAAACATTTTAGCCCTTTATACCCCAATACACATGTTTCATATACCTGTACACAATGGAAAAGTGTCACAGCAGTTGCCCCACAAACTATAAAACATATTACGTACACCCAGTACCACAAACATACTTCGGGGAATGCGTCACAGACCACTTGGCTGACACACTATGGAGTGTGCTCCATATACCCAGTTGTCCCATACACTTGGTACATGTCTCATATACCCAGTACGGCACATGTCTCATACATCCAGCGACAGTTGCCCCATATATTACAACACATATCACATACAGATATACCCAGCAACAGTTGCTCCATATATTACAACACATATCCCATACAGATATACCCAGCAACAGTTGCCCCATATATTACAGCACATGTCGCATACAGATATACCCAGCAACAGTTGCCCCATATATTACAACACATATCCCATACAGATATACCCAGCAACAGTTGCCCCATATATTACAGCACATGTCGCATACAGATATACCCAGCAACAGTTGCTCCATATATTACAACACATATCCCATACAGATATACCCAGCAACAGTTGCCCCATATATTACAGCACATGTCGCATACAGATATACCCAGCAACAGTTGCCCCACATATTACAACACATATCCCATACAGATATACCCAGCAACAGTTGCCCCATATATTACAGCACATGTCGCATACAGATATACCCAGCAACAGTTGCTCCATATATTACAACACATATCCCATACAGATATACCCAGCAACAGTTGCCCCACATATTACAACACATATCCCATACAGATATACCCAGCAACAGTTGCCCCATATATTACAGCACATGTCGCATACAGATATACCCAGCAACAGTTGCTCCATATATTACAACACATATCCCATACAGATATACCCAGCAACAGTTGCTCCATATATTACAACACATATCCCATACAGATATACCCAGCAACAGTTGCCCCACATATTACAACACATGTCCCATACAGATATACCCAGCAACAGTTGCTCCATATATTACAACACATATCCCATACAGATATACCCAGCAACAGTTGCCCCACATATTACAACACATATCCCATACAGATATACCCAGCAACAGTTGCCCCATATATTACAGCACATGTCGCATACAGATATACCCTGCAACAGTTGCTCCGTACCAGGTGAAATAAAGCGGCGCAGTTGTTTTTTGTTCACAACCCAGGTGACGTCGACTAGAACATTCTGTGCCGTGTGAAACAAGGGGGTGACAAGACATTCAATCTTCAAGGTCACGTGGTTCCATCCATCTACCACACAGCTTAGCACGGCGTGATAACAAGCACAATCGGCTTGTTGGTCCCGAGAGTATGTGAGGGTGTGGGGTTGTTGACACGTGACGCTTGAGCCGGGAGGGTGGGACAATGGGAGGGTGTAGGGTGAGACAATGGGTGGGTGGAGGGTGAGGTGGAAGTAGGTGTGGAGAGGCGAGTAGAGGCTGAGGCTGGAAACGACGCGGAGGGTGTGAAGACAGAGACACTTCGACGGAGGGGTGGAGTGGAGGGACATCCCATATGCCTCTCCTAAACAAACTTCAAGATTTGTAGACAAACATGTCGTACACATCAATCCGATTACTTGAGCTTCACCTTGACACTAACTAATTATTTAAACAGCACCCCCCCCCCCCTTTCGCCTCCCTATCAGCAATCACACCCTACTGTCGTGTTTCAATGGTCTACAGATACCCCGTGCCATCGTAAGTCAAATATTTCACCTCAGATGTTTAACTCGTGTACGTCGCCGTGTCGTCTTACGTCACATAACCCTAACAAAGCCAGACAACACACCAGCTATGTACACATAGAACTAAAGACAACATTACGTCACTGGGTCCTTTTGTTTTATGTCACAAACCACCGATATACGCAGCGTTTATTTATTACCGATCCCCCTCAAACAAGCCCCCCGAGCATATTTATTCCAAGTTTTACTCTCGCCAAAACCTAGAAGCTATAATATTTCAATTGAAACATCCGTATATGAGAAAATAGTAAACTAGAATAGTACTGTGATATTAGTACAGCAAGTATAACCAGAATCACTACTGCAACCATTCAACTTAAAACTAAACGTTATAGCCGATCTCCTCAAATAGAGGTGTTCGGCTGAGCGTTAAAAAACGAGGTAAATAATGTGCAAATGATCACGTAGAAAGCGATCACAAGTCTGATCTAATTAGCTAAGTCAATGTCCCCCTTTCAGTTACATTTGCGCGTGAGCTTCTCACTGACATGGTCCACTGATTTCAAGGTCACGGGGCTACACGGATGGGTGCTGATCGATCACCCCCACCCCAGCACAATTTTAATTATCCATGCTCCAATTTTCAAGTGCTAGGGCTTCAAACAAGCCTGGCAAGTGATGCCTTAATTGCCTGAATAATTCAACAAGTAAAGGAGGTAAGACATAGATGGACGGTGTTCAGTTGTAGGTAGGTAGACTAGAGGCATTCAGCTTTACCGCCACGACAGAGCTGCTATTTACTACTTTAACAAGTTCTCTGGGCAACCAAAGCTAAGCACACCCGTATTTCCAATTCGGTTTAACCTTCTCGATCTCTATATCATGTCTGATATGGTTACTTAAAACACCAAATGATCATTGCGGTATCAAATGTGCTTGTATGACCGTTAGGATTTTTCTCAACACCCACGCTAAAGAGTTGGCTGATGAACACATCCGGGCTAAATGGGTTGGCTGATCCAACCACCCACCACACCCGCAGTTGGAGCATTGAAATACGCCCTGCAATATTTTCATTCTTCCTATGACTGAGATACAAATCTAAATATTGTTATTAATAACCTTAGAAATAGAATACTAAAAGAGGCATAAATCTTAATATGAAAGGATCTCCGATATCTGATACAGAAAAAAAAAACATTTCTTAAAGCAAAGGTGCCTTGTGAATCTGAATAAAAAACGACATTATGAAAACATTTAAAGCTTATTATTAAATACGAATACCCGGTGTAGAATTGTATCAAGTATAAAACAGAGTGGCACTGG